AAGAAAGAAAGAAAGAAAGAAAGAAAGAAAGAAAGAAAGAAAGAAAGAAAGAAAGAAAGAAAGAAAGAAAGAAAGAAAGAAAGAAAGAAAGAAAGAAAGAAAGAAAGAAAGAAAGAAAGGCTGATCCTGCACAAAAAGTCCCTGCACCTTATCGTTGGTATGTTAGCAAACCTTGCTTCACTTAGACATAGTTCGGTCTCTGCAAATTTCATTCTAGTCCACCAGAACATGCAAAAGTTAATAGCAATTCACTAATTTTAAAAATCAAAATGTAAGTCAGGCACTATAGTAAGAATAAAATCAGTATCGTTAAAATCAATGGGGACATTCCCATTGGTATATACCATATTCTGCATGACCACAAAAATAAATATATCGATACAACAGAGGTTTGGAAAGAATCAATATGACTTGGGTTCTTTTGGCAGATGTGATTAGGCCCTGATATTTGGGTTTGCTTCTGAGACAAATCGAGCAGCTTCCAAATCAACCCAATTTTATTTTCCTTTTTCTGAATGCCTAGACCAGGATCGAAAGGAAATGACCCCTTGCTAGTTCATTCAAATGCATCCCTAGCACCGTGTTTGTCAGCCTCCAGAAAAATGTTAAGAAACTAGAAGAGGTATAATAATAAGCAAAATGACTACTCATGCTTTCTCTTGCCCTACCCAAGCATTAGAGGACAGGAACTTATTTTTTAACCGTCCCATCGTGTCTTTCATTTCCTTATTCCTTAGAGTATATACAATAGGATTAAGGGCAGGGGTGACTACTGTGTAGAAGGCAGAAGCAATCTTGTCCACACTGGAGCTGGAGAAGGGTACAAGATATACAAAGAGGCAAGGCACAAAAATGAGGCTGACCACTGTCAAGTGGGAACTGCAGGTAGACAAAGCTTTCCTTCCACTCTCGTTGAAGTGACCTCGAAGTGTAACCAGGATGACACCATAGGAGATGAGCAAGATGACAAAGCTAAAGAGTGAGAGTAGACCACTGCTGGCCACCACGAGGATTTCAGTGATATAGGTATTCGTGCAAGCCAACTTGGCCACCTGTTGGACGTCACAGAAGAAGTTGTCCAACTCATTTGGCCCACAAAACGGGAGTCGGAGGATCAGGACCAGTTGGGTGGCGGAGTGGACGAGTCCACCGATCCAGCAGGAAGCGAGAAGCTTAATGCAATGCAAGCGGTTCATTGTGGTGGAGTATGACAATGGCTGGCAGATGGCCACATAGCGGTCATAGGCCATGAGAGTAAGGACCAACATCTCGGATCCTCCAAAAAAATGAAGGAAGAAGAGTTGGGCCATACAGCCCCCAAAGGAGATGGTTCTGCCACAGCTCAACAAGTCTGCCAGCATCAGGGGAACGGCCACGTTACTTAAGCCAGCATCGATAATGGATAGGTTGGTGAGCAAAAAGTACATGGGGGACTGGAGGAGGCGAGAGTCTGCATGCACAATCATAACAATGAGGAGGTTGCCCAACAAGGCAACAGTGTAGCAGGCTAACACAAAGACAAAGAGGAAGAGCTGAACAGGCCAGGAGTGGGGAAGACCCAGGAAGGTGAACTCTGTGACCTTGGAGGCATTCATGATGGTGTCCAGACCCTTGGGAGCAGAGAAAACAAAGCATTAATGATGTTTGTGCATGAATCAAGGTAGCCTCAGAACCTGGGGTTCATTAATTCATTTTGTCCCAGTACAGAAACAGAGGAAATGTTGACATGAATGATACTAAACTCTAGAAGCTGAACCCGGGCACATTCACTCAACTGCACAATGAATTCTCAAAGTCCCAAAATACATGAGTTAAATGGTAGCACATGGTCTTTCACTGAATCAAGAAGATGCATTATTTTCTATTGAACCATGAATTAAGAAAGTGATGTATTTTTAAATGTGCATGGAAATATCCTGTCCACTCCATATACTTGAGAAGGAGTGAGCATATAACATTTGCTTGCAGTTTAATTCTTATGATTTCTGTTTTCTTGGTAGACCAAAACACCAACATTTGGCCATTCCTCCCCATCCTACCAATTTATATCAAGGTATCTCACACATGTCCCAAACCTGGGGCATTCAAGGCATATCGGATAACAAAATCCATCCTCCCCAGAATGCATTTCCATTTGTAAGGTAGGTTGGGGATGATGAATTTGTGAGTTAAATCCATTAAAATTATCACAGTGTGAATGCTTATGTTTAAGGATGTGATGTGCTCACAGCCCCGCTTAAAACCAACAATGCTTTGCAAAAAATTCCAAGTTCACAAGAAATTCAGTTGGTACAATCTGCTATTTTCTCTCCATTTGCTTAAAGCTGTTCAAAAAGAGAATTAGACTAGCTGTTTTAAAAGTCTCCAACCTATACTCACTTACTGGGAGCAAACACTAGTGAACATAAAGGAAGTTACTTCTACATAAATCATAATACAGTATGGTTGCTTAGTAAGATACAAGGGTCCTGATCTCACATTGAGCTTGATCCTGAGGTTTCTATCAAAGACTAGGTACTAGACATACAACACAGCGCTGATCATGAACCAAAGAAATAAGACAGTCAAGACAGATATGTGTCAGCCAAAGTGAGTAATCCTAATTTAAAGGATCAGAACTGGAGTGGAAGGGTCAACATAGCAAGGCTTTTTAAAAAATCAAACCCCACCACACAAAATTCTAAATGATTATTTAATTCCCAAGAAATATTTAAAAAGCAAAACAAAATAAACCCATAAAAATATAGGAGAATTGAAGAATGCAAGAAAGTACCCAAAATATGGTGCTGTTGTTTTTAAGGGAAACCTACCTTGTGGTCTGGCTGGCCCCTAGCTCCACTATCTCTTAATGGCAAAAAGCAACACTTGTAATGTGTGGGATGGATAGGGAGAGGGTCTTTTAAGGACACACATCTTCAGCATGCTAAATTCTACATGTATTTATAAATACACACATCTACACACACCCCACACACAGAATAAATTGAAAATCAAATTCACTCGAACAAGGATGTAGATCCATTGACTTTTGACTTGGTACCTCCAAGACTCTGAAGAAGTTCCAATTCTTTAATTTTAAGCAAACACAGAAAGACTCTTCCTCCTTTGGATTTCACTTCTGAGAGCCAAGACGACGAGGCTAATAATGGTCTTTACCTCTTTCATGCTTGAGCTGAAATGTTTCCCACTTCATATATACCGGGATCCTGTCAATGGCTTGGATATTGGAGGGAACATATAAAACTGCTCAGGGAGCATGTGCTGTCAATATTCAACATAGGGTCCACCCAAGCTTTTCTGAAACAGACCGAAAGCTCAACAAGTCCCAAATTCTGCTTCCCAACAGTGAAAAACCAGGACACCTGCAAAAAGCTTTCTGAATGCAACACCCTTTTCTAAACTCCTGTTCTCAAGTCTGCCCAAGACCAAGAGTTCGAAATCAGCAGTTCCTCTATTATCAGTTGCTTAAACTGTTTCTTGTCCGGAAAGGCAGATAAAACCTGCAGAGAGCTCTTTGGAGAAATGGCATTTCAGTAGCAACCATTACCCAGCAGTGTTCTTAACAAGGGAATGGCTCTTTCCTTGAGTCTAGCCTATCTGGCATATTTCAGCGGCTGAAATTATGCCACTGGGAGAAGCAAAACCCAGGTCCCTAATCAGATGCCTTTGCCAAGGGAAATCATTGCCAAATCATAGAGAAAGAATTAGGAACCAGAAGATTTAAATCCTTTCTATATCCAACTTTATATAGGAAATATGGATGACTGGTAAAAATTTGATGCATATCCTGGAGCACAATGGGACTCATGAGTATCCTTAATCAGAATCAAAGAACCACAGAAATTTATAACTATACAGATAAAAGAAGTCTCCCCAAAGAGGGGGAAAGCATTATGTGAGTATATTCAGGTATCTCCTGGGCAACAGCAGGTAGCTGGCAAATCCTTCACTTCCAGAAGCACTGCACTGGAAGAGCACCGAACACAGCCACTTCACGGATGCTGAACTCTTGGATGATGGAAGTCAAGGAAAAGTTTATTCACACATGTCAAGTTCAGACCACTTCTGTTCAAAAATAGTCTGATTATCGTCACATTCTAATTGGTTTTTAATTTTGCCTTTACAGTGGTGCCTGGCTTGACAATTACCTTGTTAGACGAGGAAATCATGAGTATTTTGCGATTGCGAAATGATGTTTTAATACAGAAAAATCACTGTACAATGATCCGTTCCCTGCTTCGGGAACCAATTTTTTGCTAGATGACCTTTTACAAACAGCTGATCGGTGGCTCTCAAAATGGAAAGAAGCCTCCCCAAAAAGGGGGAAAGCATTATGTGAGTATACTCAGGTATCTCCTGGGCAACAGCATGCAGCTGGCAAATCCTTCACTTCCAGAATCACTGCACTGGAAATGCACCAAACACAGCCACTTCATGGATGCTGAACTCTTGGATGATGGCTGAAGTCAATGAAAAGTTTATTCTCACATTTCAAGTTCAGACCACTTCTGTTCAAAAATAGTCTGATTATCTTCACATTCTAATTGGTTCTTGATTTTGCCTATATTTGTGTGTATCCATGACTTTGAATTGTGCACTGCTCCGAAAGCAAGCAAGCAAGAAAAAAAGGCAAGAAAGAAAGAAAGAAAGAACATGACTTTGAATTGTGCCATGCTCCGAAAGCAAGCAAGCAAGAATGAATGAATGAATGAAAGACTGATTGATTTTCATGGCTTTTCCCAGTAGGATAGCAGAGTGGGGAGTCAGTGGTTCTCCTGCTATGATTAATGTATGATGATATGTGTGGATTCTGACTACTGGACAGACCTGGGTGGGCTAAAATAACCAATAGCATCTTACCAAGGCTTTTAAAAACACAATGGGCCATCATGGCAAAAACTGGAAGTTCTGATCAGTGGGCACTGGGTATGGACGGTCACATGATGATATGTGTGGATTCTGACTACTGGACAGAACTGGATGGGCTAAAATAACTAATGGAAACTTAGCAAGGTTTTCAAAAATACAATGGGCCATCATGACAAAAACTGGAAGTTCTGATCAGTGGGCACTGGGTATGGATGGTCACCCATTTTTCCTACATGTTGACTAAGTGGACAGATGCAATTTTGATATGCATACATTTTTGATAGTGCAGCAGATCAGTTTCTGTAACTGATTCCAGTGCCTTGAGGAGGAGGAAAAGAGGTGGTCCTCTGCCCATATGAGAGATTCTAAGAGGTGACTAGAAGCTGTATCCCTGTCTTTGAAAAGATATGCTCTATAATATGAATAAAAGGCTGGCAAAACTGGGAAAATTCTCTCACGGTTGCCATGACTAAGGATCCCAAACCCGACCTAGATCAAAAGAGAGGACCAAAAGCTTCAATCAATAGCGAAGAGAAGAGGGAGGTCAGGAGATGTCACCGGAGGCTCTCTTCTCTGGTGGTAGCCGTCGGCAAGGATTCTACAGGGGATCTCATGAACTTCTGCACACTCTTTTTCTGAAGCTTTGCTTCAACCACAGTTGCTAGTCACTCATTCACAGAACCACCTGCCATTGAACAGTACCCTCTGCCATCACTGTAACAAGCCCAGGAGGATAGATAGATAGATAGATAGATAGATAGATAGATAGATAGATAGATAGATAGATAGATAGATAGATAGATAGATAGATAGATAGATAGATAGATAGATAGATAGATA